TATTCCTTCTTTCTAACTGAAATTTTGTATCTTTAGACCAACTTCCCCCAAATTCCCTTCTCCCTTTCCATTCTTATGGGGTAATTTTTATGAATAATGACTGAGCCTTAATTATCGTGACTTACAAGTAGTATTTCTGACTGACAGTAGACCTGCATTGCCCTCTACAGCTAGATTCTCTTCCACAGTATTTTTCTTTGAGCAAAAAACTTGGCAGCATGTCTCTGACAAAAGATCAACTTAATTACTTACAAAGTTACGTGGCTAACTGTACCTTTAAGGGAAGCAGCAAATAATTATGTAATGTTTGAAGTTCTGGTTTTATCTTCAGAGCTGATTGCAAGTCTGTGGACCTCAATTCTTGACAGATGCCTACTGAAGAGCAGCTTCAGTAGAAATGCACCTTACCAAATCACTCTAAAATAGTAAGGCATAGAAATTTATTCTGAAGTTAAGGGACAGGGAAGGTAAGTGGTATAGGAGAAAGCTAAGTCGCCAAGTGTGATTAAGATGAGATGGAAGCACTTTTAGAACCAAGTCCTTTCAAGCCAGGCACAGTGGCTCATGCCTGTAATCCCAGCGTGGATGGCCAAGGTGAGAGGATCTCTTGAAGCCAGGAGTTCCCGACCAACTTGGGCAACATTAACAAAACCCTATCTCTACAAAAAAATTAAAAAATTAGCGAGTCATGGAGGCTGAGTTGGAGGATCACCTGAGTCTAGGTGTTAAAGATTGCAGTGAGCTATGATTATACCACTGCACTCCAGCCTGGGCAACAGAGCAAGACCTTGACTCTTTAGAAAAAAAAAAAAGAAAAGAAGCACTTTCAGGTTTCAGTGGGGGGCTGTCATAGCAGTGTGTTTCATTCAAACAAAACTATACTTTCAAGAGGACAGTTGTGGATAATGATTCAAAGCTTTTGAAACAACTGGAGATAAGCCAGCCCAGCAAAACATTTGCTCATAGGCAGAAAGTATATATAGGTGCATGATCACTGTGATTTTACGCAAACAGGGAACCTATAAGACTTGTAG